TGTCTGATGATCTGACCAGTGTGAGACTTAAAGACACATGTCAGCAGCTCCCTGACCACCCAGAGAGAAACAGTAATTATCCCAATGTTCTGGGCTCTGAGGGTTTCAGCTCAGGGAAACACAGCTGGGAGGTGGAGGTGGGAGACCATCCTGACTGGATTGTGGGTTTGGCCAATGAGTCATTTGACAGGAAGGGAGAGCGATATCCTTCACCAGAACATGGAATCTGGTGTTTACTGCATCGTGATGGAAAATACACTGATGGTGTTGGTCAGAGTGAAGCAGAGTCTCCAGAGGATCAGAGTCCAGCTGGACTATTACCGGGGGCAGGTGTCCTTCTACGATGCTGAAGACACGACTCATATCTACACCCACAGAGACACTTTCACTGAGAAACTCTTCCCTTATTTTTATGTCAGAGACGCTGATAATGCCAAAACCACTGATATCAAAATGTGTCCCAGTCAGATTTCTCTGTGATGTTCAGGTTTGTGTTTCTGTTTGTTGTGATTTTTTTTAATTTATGTTTAAACTGTGTCACATCATCAGGAGACAAACTTTCCAAATCCAGGCTGTTCATTCTCCTGGTTATCAGCATGTGGTTTAGTGTCAGACGGCTTTGTGTGCTCGTATATATCCACTGGACTGAAGCCTCTGACTGTTTGTTTGTCTTCAGTTTGATATTTTGGGGGTTTTGATGAGTGAATTTTAGTTTTGGATTTTTTGTTTTGTTTTCAAATAAATAGTTTTAGCGTATGGGCTTTTTTGTACAGTATTCTCACAGTTCTGCTGGATAATACAATAAACCACTTATACAGTTTTTTTAAAAACTCTTTGTTAAAGTGTTGATTTCTAGAGCAGAGTGGATGAGACTGACACCTTGTCTTGATCTGCTTGGATACGCTCTACTCCTTTCCCAGATGTAACATCCTGAAAGCTAAGTTCTATTTTCCTTCCACTTTCCAAGCCCCTCAGCCACTTTGCCTGGTGCCCAGTCACACTTACCTTTACCTTCGCTATTGTGACTTCTCTTTGTGAACGCAAGACATATATAATATAGTAGTTGGTATTTCTTTTAACATTTTATCTTAAAAAATATTAAACAATAAATGATTTGTTTTTTTTCTCCCAGCACTGGTTGTATAGATTTGTTCAAAAATAAAATGTGCGCGATTTCTTTTAATTGTTACAATAGTAGCGATAGCGCTCTTATTTTGAAAACCAAGCGGAAATAAAATGTTAGTATATCTGGGTCAGCGAGCATCCTGAATTGGCTAAACAATGGTTGTTGTTTGAGGTGATGTTCCCAGATTTGGTAACATTACTGGTTTTTAAACAGTGTTTGTATAAGCAATACATATGTTTTCTTTAGATGGGTTTTTGTCTTTGAGCTCGTCATTGTTGAAGTCGTTATTAATTGTAGGAATATTTCTCTAATTGCACTGTTATGTAGCTAACAGCTATAAGCTAGCTAGCTAATCACTGAAGCTAACGTTAGCTAAAACAACATTAAAGAATGAGACGCCAGACTGACAAGTTACATTTTGTGAGTGTGCAGACAGTTACAGTGGTTCAAATATAGTTTCCCATTTCCTATTGTAAGTATAAATGTAAACTGATTTTGGGCAAATACGTTAGCATTCATAACAGATCCTGCAAAGACCAAATACGCGTTTAGCTGAACGAGCGTTAGCTACCAGTGTGTTATGAAAAGCGAGTACTGAATGTTCACGGTGAGTGATATTGATGTTGGTTTTTTATTTTTCTGAGAGGGTGCATGATACTTTAAATCCAAATTTGAGTCGGAAGATATTAACAGATAACTTCATCTCTTTGTTATGGGCACATGGTGCTATATTCTCTCCTGAAACTACACACTCATGTCTTTTATGCTGCACAAGGTTTAACACTAACCTCAGTCAGATGATCAGTCAGTGTTTTGAAATTTAAGTTGTTAATTAAATTGAACTGAAAATGCATTATGGTCCTGATAATCAATCACCACATGTTTTGTTCTGCTAGGACCTGTCTCCGAGGAAGTAAAATAATCTCCAGGTAATAAATTCTGATGGTAATGGAGAATGACTCACAACCTGACAGCAAATAAGAGCCTCATACCCTGTCAGCTGTGGGTGGCCCAGAATGACTGGTCCACAACTTCAACTCAAGGACCCCCAGCCAGCTCTCAGCATCTCTGCCTGGGCTCGTCTTCTGACCAGAGTCCCTCCTTCAACCACCTGCAGGCATCCAGTCAGAGCTGTATGAGCAACCTCAGCACCGTATCGTCCAGAAGCAACACTCAACACTCTTCTCTGTACACAGCCTCTCACATTAGCAGCAGTGTATCATCCACTGCATTGTTTACCAACACTGTTATCCCGAGTGCCTCTCACACTATTTCCTTTGCTCAGCAAAGCCCCCACATGTCATCAGTGCTTCTAACTGCAAACCAAGGAAAAACTATACCCTCCCCATCTCTTCCTCAACAAAACAAAGGACCACAGCTTTGTAACCCCCAACAATTTCCACTTCTCTTGCCCAATAGCCCCTATAAAGCATTATTTCAACCTCCATTCACTAATCAGGGTTTATCAAACGGACGTCAGGATCTGCCCACCAGCCTGCCATCATGTGGTCATCGTGCAAGTACCTCTCAAGCTACTTTTGAAGGAGCAAATATGGCATCTGCTGGTTTTTCTGGATACACTCACAGCTATGCCTCAGCCATATCTCAGGAGCAGCCTCAATGGATCCCTTTATCACACTGCAGGGGTACATTGTTTTGAAATTCCACAACTTGAAATAGACTACAGAGGGTAATTCAGAGTACATAAATTTAGGTAGATGATATTTTATGTGAAATACTTTATAAATTCAAAAAATAGGTGCTTAGTTTCTTTCTTATAAGATAAATACATTTATGGTCATTGTTTTCCCCATAAAGGTTCATATTACAGCAGAGGATGTTGTCTCCACTTTCCTCTTGCATCCTTCTATCTTACCTGTGTTTTGTGCAGGAGCTGCAGACAAGTCTGCCACTGATGCAACTGCTCATGCTAACAGTGAGCCATCACAAGAAGAGAACATTACCTCACCGGTGAGGAAATGAACACCAAACACCAACATCTATTACAAACATTTTGTTGTTTGGAGAGCTATTTTTATGCAGATCTTCACAAACAGAGCTAAGATGTTGTAGTTGTTTTGCAAACTGTCTTGTTCCCATACACTCTAATGTTTATCATTTCTGTCGACATTAAGGCCAGCATTGAGAGACGCCGTTCAGTACTTTTATATCAGCGTGCACAACTACTTAAACAATTGGCAGAGATGGATAATCTTGTGAGTTAAGACAATTTTTAATGGTCAATATTTCTTTAAATAGGTGCTACCCATTAGTAAATTTCTTTCTTTCTATTATGAAGTGCTCATAACTCTGTTATAGAGATTACTGTGGATAATTCTGCACAGTTGCTCCCTGTTGACTTCACTCTATTTTCCTATTAAGCTGGAATCAGTATTTCCAGATGAAAACAGCGATGGGCCAGCTCCACACACATGCTCCAGTTTGATTTGCAGTACAAGCAGTGAAGTACAACACTTTATGCAAAAATATAAACCACATAATTTTTCTTCTCCATCAATGGATGATTCATTTCAACGTAAACGAACTAAGACCAGGGATGCACAGCAAGTTCAGCCATCTGCAGAAGAGTCAGAGGTAGTTTCTCTCATTTTCTGCACGTTTATACTATTAATACAGTATGTGGTGGTCTAACTAAAGCCCCATTACTGTTTTAATTTCTGAAATTATCTTCTTTTTGCTGTCTTTTTTTTAAGTCACAGTCACATCTTTCAGTAAAATATTGCTCACCTTTATCCTGTGACGAGCAAGATGAGACCTGGGATATGTCAGAGGATTCAGTGTCAGAAGGAGAACCACAGGTAGGTGTCTATGTTTTGGTTTGTTTAATCCTTAAACTGTACCATTTACTTTTTAGTATTGGGCAGTTGATTGTTTAAGATTTACATGGGCTAAATTAGGTTATGGTGCAGAGTCAGTTTTGGCTATGTTCTTTCAGTTTATGTGTATGTAGTATGAGCTGTAACTGTAAAGCTCCTGGGCACCCTGAGCTTGTTATTTCATGCTAGACATCAACAGCAATAGAAGAGCTGCAACAACTGGTTCATTTCCATATGTAACTTTTTTCCACCCAGAACATGGAAGGAGCCCCAGTTGAGTTAGAGGATGAGAGTGATCCTGATTACTTCCCTAGCACTGATGATGATATCTCTGATTTCCGATCTGACTCTTTTGGAGACTCTTCAGATGAATTCATTTGCAGCAGTCCCTCGACTTGTGGGAATAAAAGCCCCCCTGTCACAGGAAAAAAAAGGGCTACATCAAAAAGTTCTTTGTATAAGGTCAAAAGTGTTCATCCTCGCACAACTAATAAGAAGAAGTCCTCTGAACTTGTTGTGTTGCCATCTTCAAATATAAAAGCACACCGTGTTTATGACAAGAGGAATTACTGTATGTTTTGCTCTCAGTCACAGACCAAAATGGCACGGCATTTTGAGAGAGTCCACAGTGACAAAGCAGAGGTTGCAGCTGCATTGCAGTATCCCAAAAAATCCAGAGAAAGACATAAGATATGGAACAAATTAATAAATCAAGGAAACTTTGCACATAATAAGGATGTTTTGAGGACAGGCAATGGGCAACTTGCTGTCCGAAAGAGACCAAAACAAACTGGAAAAGCCAAAGATTTTCTTCATTGTCTTTTCTGTCGAGGTCTTTATGGGAAGAAAGCTTTGTACAGACATATGAGGAAGTGCCCAGAGAAAGTGGAGAATGGAAATGAATCTCGCGTGGGAAGAAAGAGCAGTGCATTGCAGTGTGTGCTTGACACTTTAGGAGACATTGGAGTAAGTGATGGTTTTAAGACCATTCTGTATGGAATGATATATGATGACGTGACGCAAGCTATTATTGATGACAAGATTATCTTGCAGTTTGGAGAGCAAATGTTTAATCAGCATGGATCTGATGTGAAGAAGCATGGTTATATACGACAAAACCTTCGTCAGATAGCAAGACTTGTTCTCGAAGCTCAAAACAGAACCCCTCTCAACAACCTGGAGGAATTCTTTTACCCCTCAAGCTTCCGACATGTGGTGTCTGCAGTGAATGTCCTGGCAGGCTATGACCCAGAAAGCAACACATACAGCATTCCTTCACTGGCCCTCAAGCTTGGCCACCACCTGCAGAAGGCCTGTAGTATTGTTGAAGCTAACGCAGTGAAGGATGGTGATGCAGGTCTGGCAGAGTCTGCACGAGAATTCCTCTCTGTGTTCCAGAATAAATGGAATAGACTCATTTCATCAGGCGCATCAGCAACTCTCAGAGAAACAAAACTGAACACAGAAAAGAAGGTGCCATTTGCTCAAGATGTAAAGTGTTTGAGTTTCCACATGGAGAATGTTCATCTCCTCGCTGAGAAGAAACTCAGAGAGAGCCCTTCTGCAGAAAACTATGCTGCCCTGGCCAAGGTAGTTCTTGCTCGGACAATCGTTTTCAACAGGAGGAAACCCAGAGAGATATCATCGATTCAGCTAATTAATTTCATGTCACGGAAAAAGTCAAATGTTCTTGATAACTTGGACGTTTCTGTCTCAGATTTGGAAAGATCCATGTGTGGCTTCTTCACTAGAGTTGATGTACCAGGGAACTGTGGGAGAATGGTCCCTGTTTTACTAAAGCCCTCCTTCGTGTCAGCTATGGAACTTCTTGTAAACAGTCGGGATACTTGTGGGGTCCCCTGGGACAATCCCTTTGTCTTTGGACGACCAAGGGCACTATCTGCTTATAGGGGGTCAGACTGCATCCAACAGTATGTCAAAGAATGTGGAGCTCGAAACCCTGAAGCAATGACCTTGAGAAAAATCCGGAAGCATTACACAACAATGCTACAGTTGATGAACCTGGATAAAGATGAGGCCAACCAAATTTTAGTTCAAACCCTGCAACAGAACAGTGACATGCAGCTTGACAATGCTGAAATGGACCCTGAAGGTAATAGCTTCCTCCACTCTACAGTTATGTGCTGTACTTTATTGCAACCACACTTGTATAAAATTAACTTAATATCATAAGGTATATGCAGAAACCTGGAACACAGATAAATCTGGATTTCAAACTTGACCATGTAAAAACACATTCCTTAGACTGTAATTGATGAAAAGCTGTTCATTTGCCAATTTAATCTTTATATTATGAGGCAAATGGGTTTGATGAGCAATATGACTTGAAGCAATATGACTCAATACCTGCTGCCACCAGTTCACCAAGTTGTTGTGTTTATAGGCTAAAGTTTTTCCATACAGGGCTGCAAGGATTTGTTTGACTTGCCAACCAGGTTTTTAGGTGTTCCTCCAAAGCTGGCACTGTCTGAGTTTGTCAGGATGTTTTTTTTGGCTTTTTATCCCAATATTTTTGTTACAAATGTCTCATTGCCTCTAATTTGATTATATTTACAATTTGTATTTATGCCCATATTAATTTAGTAGGTTGTTTCAGTGTGGTGTTGTCCCTCAACTTTAAAAAATAGGCCAACATTGCAAAATCATCAAAGCAGGTATTCTTATTTATTGTCCACCACTGTCCAAGCTCAGATTTCAAAGCATGACAAAAGGAAAATATGAATGATGAATAGGACTTTGTGTTTGCACTGTATAGGCATGATATTGGTGGTACTGTGTATAACATCTGTCTTTGACATTCATTTAAACCTAGCCATCATACGAAACACTCTGTGGTTAAGTTGAGGACTCTAATAGCAATGGCAGCTGTCAGCATAACTTCATTCATTCCTTTTTTTAATCCCCTCGCAGGCTCCAAAAAGAAGGACCGACACAAATGGGAGGAAGCAGAGGTTCGTGCTGTAGAGAGACACATGATGCGTTTCATCCAAGAACGCAAGGTGCCTCAGAAAAATGACTGCGTTTATTGTATTGAGGCTGAGCCAGGAGCTCTGAGGAACCGTTCATGGAGAGGTGTGAAGGACTACGTCAGAAACAGGATCACCACACTGAAAAGACAAAGCGGCTCTTCCCAGGATTCATCCACAAATAGTTACACACCCTGGCAAGTGGAACAAGCACATGGAGCAAAAACAGACACAGACATGTCTGCATCCCCAAGCTCTGTCAAATCTGGGAAAAAAGGTAGTGTTGATGATCATCAACAGCCTTTGTATCCATTTTTTTACACTGTGGGCCACTAGATAAACAGTACCTCGCTTGACAGTTGAAACGATCTAGTGGCACCAAGGAATGCACTGTACCAGGTTTTAGGACTATAAAGAATCCTTTTTTATCTGATCGCTTCATTGTTGGTGTTGATGTTTTTATGTGATTTTTGGGGATCTGTGAGATCCACCCTGGACAGGTCACCAGTCTATAATAGGGCTGACATGTAGACAGATAACCAAACATGCTCACATTCACTCCTAGGGGCAGTTTAGAGTCGCCAGCCAACCTAAGCTACATGTCTTTGGACTGTGGGAGACAGCTGGAGTGCCCGGAGACAACCTACGCAGGCTTAGGCAGAACATGCAAACTCCACACAGAAAGGGCCCGGGTAGGCAGGGATTTGAACTCGATTACTGAAATAATCGCTGCAAAAAGCTGAACTACAGCTATAGCAGAAACAATTGACCATAATATCAACGCAGGATCACGTAACTCATGTTTCAGTGTCAGAAACCTTGCTTCAAAACAGATTTTGGATGTCAAACTTGCCATCTCTAGTAGCACATTAACAGGGAGTTGGGTCAGAGTGTCTCAGAGTACCTCTTACAAGCTTCATTTGGCATCTAAACATCACAGAATGAAAACATTGACAATAAAGATACGTTTTTGAGTCACAAATAGTACTATAGAGTATAGTCATAACACATGTAACAGTGGTACTGTATTTAAGCTCTGTCTTTAAGAAACATTCAGTTAAACTTTCACTATGATATTGAACCCACTGTGATTGTATTGTGGAAATTTTTATTTTTACATAGTTTTTTCAGTTGACATACCTTCATTTATTTCTTCTTTTTACCTCACAGTCTCCCAAAACAAGGACCGACACAAATGGGAGGAAGCAGAGGTTCATGCTGTAGAAAGACACATGATGTGTTTCATCCAAGAACACAAGGTGCCTCAGAAAAATGACTGCGTTTATTGTATTGAGGCTGAGCCAGGAGCTCTGAGGAACCGTTCATGGAGAGGTGTGAAGGACTACGTCAGAAACAGGATCACCACACTGAAAAGACAAAGTAGCTCTTCCCAGGATTCATCCACAAAAAGTTACATGGTCATGCAAGCAGAACCACAGCCGAGTACTGGATATTTTCAGCAGCTGTCATGATACTGCTGTCATGACAGCAAACCTGTTTTGTGCAACTTTTCTCTTCCATTTACTTCACCCACTCTTGCTCTCTCATTTTTGATTTCACTGTTCTTTATCAGTATCCATCTTTTTAGCAACACTATTTCCCACAGTTCAGATGGCCAAGAAGAAATTGATCATTTTTATTTTTGTGATTTATTGTTTGTAGTTTTTCTGTTATCATTTGTACTTAGTGCGATTGCAGTGCCCAGCGCCTCTCACTGTGGGTTTGTTTCATTAACGTCATTGTACCAAGACTGTTGATAAATACTGACACCAGATGTGTACAGATTTAGTTGGTTTTCAAGTTGTTTGTTTACCTTCTGTGATCAGGTTATTTAGTTTACGGTATTTAATCATTCTGTTTAGAATCTTGGTATTTTGTATAACAGTTTACCAGTAACAAAGTGCCAAGGTTAATATTCTGGCAGTTTGTTAAAAAAAAAAAAAAACAGCAACCTGTATTATACATAAAATGTTGACATTGCAGTGGTTTATACCACCATGTCAGGACAACTGACTGTTCCTTGCATGTATGAATAATAATCCCATAGGAAGTGGTATAAAAAGTATAGTCATTTTATTTAACATGAGTAGCAGAAAAGTTGCACTTTACAAATTTTACCAATGTAAAAGTGCAGAATGACTAGAAATAAAAGGCTCAACATATCACAAGTAAAAATACTCTTTCACATTACTACTAATATGCAAACAATATTTTAATGTAGCTCAAAGTGGAGCTCGTTTTGACCACCTATATTTAAATTTACATTAGCTGATTTGTGTTCGGTGATATTAATGTGGTATAATTGTAAGAACTCAGTACAATATTTCCCTTTGAAATGTAGTGAAGTATTCAGTAGCACATAAAATGGAAATGCTCAAGTAACAACACAGTTTTCTAAGAACTGTACAGTTCATGGGTAAATGTGTTAAGTTAGTATCCACCACTTTTATAGACAGTTTGTTGTAATTTATTTAAAAACTGTTACTTATTTACTCATATGATAATCTGCTGCTTTTTAATTTGGTGTTCATCTTTTCCTCATACACTTTTCACAGGCTTTATTATGAAAGGGCAAGCGGAAACACGTCACGAGTCTCACAAAACAAGCGCAGGTTAGGTTTATTATGGATGTTACCGGTTGTGTAGTGGCTAAAATCATGTTGAAGACGGTGAAGGTGCCATCATGACATTTTATTTTAATATACGAGAGATACGAACAAAAGTTTAAAGCATTTTCGCTTCCGTGGCAGCACAGTGGGAAATGAAGACGCCAACGTTATTAACGTTAAAGAACAAGTGCCGCACGCAAAGCTCGCTGTTTTCATTGATGTCCAAAGGTATTGAGTCTAAGCTTTTAATAACGTTAGTGAAATAATGCTGTTTTTTTTATTAGATGGAGCTTTGGGTTTCATTCTGTTTGTCTATATGGAGCCGCTGTCTGTCTAGTGTTAGTGTAAAGACTCACATCCACAAGAGCACCTCTGTTGTGGGTTAATGTTAGCTAACTAGCTCAGAATAAACATTTGTACAAGATAGATAGAAATTTTGCCAATTTGCTCCTAATGTTACAGTGATGTAGTGAGATAAGGCTAGTTAACTGTTATATCCTCAAGATTAGACACTTTAAAGTACGAAAACTCAGAAAAACATACACTTTGCTTTCTGCTCTTTTCATATAGCTAAATTTATCTGCAGCGACCACTGTCATTCTGAAATTTTAGTCTGTGTCAGAAGACAATCACATCACAACTTTGTATAATATTTTGCACGTTTCCGTTGCCTCACAAGATCCCGCCTCCAAGGAGAAATACACCTATCAGTGATGGTTTTGGAGGATGATGGATATTCCCACAGGCAATCAGAGCCAGATACCGGGTCAGAACGTCAAGTCCGCAGCTTCACCCCCAGGACCCCTCTGCAATTCTCTGCCCAGCATTCAGGATCTCAGCCTGGGCTTGCCTTCCAACCAGGGGCCTGGTTACAACCACCTGCAGGGGTCTAGCTGCGGCTCCCGGAGCAACCTCACTACCCATTCCTCCACAAACAACACTCATCACAGCATGCTGCATGGAAATAATGCCGACCAAAATGTGCAGCAATTTACTGATGCTTATGTTTCATCCATGGTTCCAGCTGCAAGCCAAGGAATAAATGTACCTCCCTGTTCTCTTCCTATGAATGAAAGGACACATACTTTCAAGCCCCAGCAAATGTCACTTTACAGGCCTTACCAGGCACTATCTCCCCCTTTCCAACCTCCATACACACACCAAGGTTCACAAAATGGGCCTCAGTCACCATGTCAAAAATATCAGCCTATTAGCCCTCTCTCGTTTGGACAATGTGGAAATCAGACTCCACAATCACCTCAGCAGGCATTCAAGGGGGAAAATGTGGAATCTACTGTTAATACTGGATATATCCACAATCATGCTGCCTTGCCCTCTCCTATCCAACAGCAGCCTCACAGGACACTTTCACATTCTGCGGGTAGGTTTATGTGTATTATGTGCATAATATGTTTACATGCATGTTACACAGCCTTTCACAGTGATAATTTAAATGAAGTGGCTCACAAAGAAATTTTATGGTGAACTAGCTCAGACTAAGCAACACTGTTCATTCAAAATCAGTGGGACTAAAAGCACAGTCCATAAGCAATCCAATAGAGCATGGCTGGTTCTTAGCTGGGTAAACCACTTCCACACTTGTCAAAGTACATGTTTAACTCTTTTAGACAAGTGCTGCAATTTGATTGTAACAGCCCACTGAGGTCAGAATATAATACTCTAGCTCAGCTCTTTCCTCCACTGTCATTTATTGTCTAACTTCTCTTTTTTCTCCTCAGGAAACATAAATAAGTTGATTCTCAACACAGCTGCACAGGACAGGAGCATCACAGCACAGGTGAGGGAAATAGTATCATGAGTCAGAACTCATTAATGTAGAGGCTATGGCTGACACAAGTAAATATTTCCATAATCACATTTTCTTAACTAAAAAAAGATGTATGTCACAGTTTTCTAGATTACAAGGTGACGTGTGTTGTTTTGCACAACCAGCATTTTTCATTGATCAGAATCATGTCTTTTTAGACTCAGTATTGCTGCAATCTTATTATATATACAGTCCAGGAAAAAACCCCACAAAAAACTGTCGATGTATAAAGTTGAATAGAATGCAACAGTGACAGACAGACTTGTGGGAAATTGCTCTTTAAATAAAGCTTGAATTTGAATGCGCCTTTAAATTTTCTCTCTGCAGTCTCCTGCCTCTGAGTCTCGTTATGGCCTGGACCCAGAGCTGCTGCCCAGTGCTGTGAGTTCTTTCCTTCTGTCTCTTAACAACTTTCTTGACTGATGTGCAGCTCCTGCTTCTTTCAGGCCTTTATGCTTATGAGTGACACACGTCTGCATCATCGCTAAGCATTGAATCAGTTGATGTGCGTCCTACACTGCCGTGCGTGTTGCGTTAAAATACACATTTGAGAAAACTATTAAAGTACCCACCGGCCAGTAAAGGGAGCCGTACTTGTATCAGTGATTTTGTCTATACTACTACTACTAATGTACTAGTACATGAGATAAACTACCTTCAATGACTCTGATAATGCAGTTTACTTTTTTTTAGTAATTTCATACATGTTTATGCATAGGCTGTAACTTTTGAATCAATATAAATATTCCTGGCTCATTTTAACTGTAGTGAAATGTTCCTGTACTCTTGCAGACTGAGAAAGTTTCACATTTGTCTGTCTCAGGTAAAGGTGATGGCCGAGGACAGGGTGGAGTGGGCGGGCAAAGTTTTCATCTCAGAGCCTTTTTCCCGTCTTCCTCCCCTGGCAACTACTTCCTGTATCATAGAAGACAGAGGTAAACATGCACCACACTGGCTGTATCTGTGCCACGGAGATGTACTACATGAAAATGTATTTTACCAATATTGCATAACTAATGCAGCAACATTACATTATGACTGAATTTTAAGCAACACTTTACACATTGCACAGTAAATATTTATAGTGCTGTGAAACCTGACTACATGAATTATTGATAGGGGAACATTAAGTGCATGTTTGGGGATATCACATACAAGGAACCCAGGCTTACTTTTACCACAGGCTGCTGGATAACACTGATGTGATATCTCATCAAGTGCATGTTGAGTTTTGTACGGCCATTAGCTTGATGCTGAATGTTGTTGGATATTTGAGCAGACAGAGGAGAGCATAATGGCAACTCCGGTGTACACTGAAATTGTTTAATGGGAGCATATCATGTTCAGATTATTGTTATTGTGCAGGAGACAAAATAATTCCAGCATAATTTTGGCAAAAGAGTGTAGCTTACCGTCATCTTGCGTTTCATGTTACTCATGTCACTCCACCGGCTTAAGCTAACCTTCATCTCATTACTGACCTTGTATCAATTCATCCCTAGGGAATGTGAGTCCATCAATCATCCGCTGCACCTCGTACTGTGTGCCCTGTGAAGGTCAGATCGCCCTGCTCAGCCGCCTGCCACTGGGAGCTCTCGTCACCCCTCTAGCAAGACAGAATGCTGGAGAGGTTGGTTTTTAGCTTCTTGGTTTATTCTATAATCTATTTAAAAAAGAATAAAACAAATAGAGAAACTTTGAATATCTAAGGAGTTGGAAATAAAGCCATAAATTAACATTATATACTGGTACATTTAACCCTTGTGCCATTTAAAGTGAAGATTACTGTGGTGCAGTAAATATACTGTATGTGTTTATGTGTGTGCTGCCTGAAGAAGCCCCTCCCAGTCTGCAGAGAGCCCGAATATGTTGTGGGCTGTGGGCAGTGTGGAGCCTCCATGTGTCCAGTGATGGGCTGGCAGGACTGTGGTCAGAGGTTTTCCTGCCCCTTCTGTGGTAAACTCAGTGAAGGTAAGGTCCAACACTGAGCATCTCAGCATTCAGGTACCGCTCATACTGTGTCAGCTTGACAAGAAAGATGGTTGTTTGTCTCACACTTCAGTTTGTCTAATAACAAGTTTACTTATAATAATAACACTATTTGTTTGTCACATTTCATACAAAAGGATGCAGTATAGTCTTCACAAAACATTAAGGCAGACAGACAAATGAAAACACTGAACAATAAAAACATAAAACAAGTTAAAAAAAATACAAATTAATACTGAAATTAGCTAATTATAGACAAAACCCGGCTAATTATTTTCTGTCCATCAACTAAAACATTTATTTGGTAATACTTTAAGCTTTAATCCACAGAATTAATGCTATAAGAGAATTAGGGGTGTGATGTAATGTAGACAACAGCGCTGTAAAAACGAGATGTCTGACAGAAGAAGCTGTGTTGTGTGTCCTCCCCTTAGGCCTTTTTTCTACTGCTTAACAGAGTTGTCACTTGTTGATTTAGATTATTAGCAAGGTAAATATGTAAAATACAGTTATGTTAATGATTAGATATAACTACTAGCTGGGTACAATCTAATCAAATGATGTGATCAAGCTATTTAATATTTTCCTTGAATTTCTTGTCAAAAATAATGCAGGATTGAATCTGTTCTGTCCTGTTAATGGTGAAAAATCGAAATGTGTTGAACTGCTGCACCTTACTTGAATGTAGTTTCCTCCGTGCAGCGTGTTTTCATCCTGCAGCAGCGTTTCTCTCCTCTCTTCTGTCTCAGTGTCGTGGCAACACTACCAGCCCACCAGAGGGGTGGAGGGCGTTCGGGTCGATAAAGACAAGAAGCCTGAGCTCAGCATGGGGTCATATGAGATACTCAACTCCCAGAAGGTTAGTTTTTCCTTGTACAACTTAGTTTTGTTTACGCATTAATTATCGTTACCTGCTTTTGAATGTTGGTGTTGTTAAACGTACGTACGTGTGTGTGGTGGGAGGCAGCAGTCTGGATACTGACTGTGTGATACAGTCACTTCCCAAGACTCAATTGTAACTGGAATAAGCGAACAAGTGAAATCCCAGGTCACAAAATAATTCCGTCATGTCACTGTCACACTTCAGAAATGACTAAGAAATGTTCACGTTATCGTTGCCTTTCACAGACCTTTGACATTTTATTGAGAAAGCTGACGTGTCTAAGTTGTTGCACTTTAATCAAAGGGTGAACCTGCTGCACTGCTGCTAGCCATAGATGTGTCTGCCTCAGCGCTGAGAGGAAGATGTATGGAGTTTGTAACACAACAGATACATGCTCTGCTCACCTCTCTGAACAGGTAAAACAAGCTCCCGCCTAACTGTACATGCACACTGTGCTTTCACAGCCTGCTGTTTTACAAGGAAAACAGGGTGTCTTAAAGGTTTGTTTTTATTTGTGTAGGGAGGATGTTGATGCATTGTCGGACGTCCGTGTTGGTTTGATAACGTACGACAGCAGAATCCATGTGTATGACCTCAGCCCTGCACTGTCCCGCCCACACATGCTGGTCATCACAGAGACAGACGAGCTGCAGCTTCCTGTGAGGGAGGGGCTTTTGGTTTCACTCAAAGACTGTGTAGACAGTATCAACAGGTAACAGACGTATTGACTGTTATTCAGGCACATGTATTTTGCGGATTCTCTGTGGCAGTAGACATTCAGCTTATACATCAATTTTATATAACAATCTTATATTTAAGTCTTATTTTCATTGTGTTTTCATGTTTTATCTTTTCAGACTCAGCCTAAATCAGTAGTTTAGCTGTTGATAGCGTCTCATAAATTTAAAACTGCAGGATTTTGTGAACTATTAATAGCAGGCGTTGTTGATTTAATATCCTCAGTGTGATATTTTGAGATCTCATCTTGCAGGCTACACAAGGTGAACTGAAACTCATGGCCTGGCTTTATGAATCCAGTAGTGTCTCTGTTAGAACTGAACTCATTAGATTGATTGGCAGTGTTGGGGAGCAGCATCTTCCTCGTGCTACTGGTTGACTTTTTTTTTACCAATTTACAGTAAAAGGTACAAGGTTGGTATGTTCACTTCCAGAAATATCTGTCTGTGCCCAGAAAAGTAACAAATACTTTTCTGCAAATAAAGGTGGCAGAATGTTTTAACTGTTTACATTTTCATCACTCTTGTATTGTTTGGCACAAAGTGATCATAGTCTGTCTGTTGTCTGTGTGTAAAGTGTGTTGCAGCTCCTTCCCCAGTTTAGTCCAACATGTGATGACCCCAGTGGAGTTTCCATGGAGCTGCCTGTCAGAGCAGGGCTGGCTGTACTGCAGGTCGGTATTCACCGCACAGGCTTCAATGGGTTTGCTTTAGTTGTGAGTTTATCCTGTATTTATAGTGTCTGCGCTGTATTTTGCAAGCTAATACATTAAGTATTAAATGTAAAATATATGTAGTATTTTTGCATAAATCAAACCAGTGTTCTTTAAACAGTGAATAAAATACAGATGTTTTTTTAATGTTGGTGATATTTCCTGTTTATTTCTCTTTTTAACACCAGGGCACAGTGAACAAAAAGCCAAACACTGCTGTCGTTTAAGGACTTTATATGTTTTGTTTTTAGGCCCTGAGTTGTCCGGGCAAACTGCTGATCTTCCACATGACCCCTCTGATAGAGATGGGGGACACAAACTCGTCCTCAGGGTTTTTTGGCTCCAACAAACCAAAGGTACCTAACTCACACACATATACACACACTAGAGATACTGTACAGGTGAGAGGAAAAAGCAGCACTGTGTACAAGTTATTATGAGAGTTTCACAGTTGTACAGTTGCATTAATCTCTTCTTTTGTTTCTTCCAGTCCATCTTTCAGCCATCAGAAGTAGCCATCTCATTGGCCAAGGAGTGTGTTCGTCAGGGCTGCGGCGTTCACCTGTTTGCCCTCTCCCAGCAAGACGTGGGCGGGGCTTGGCCCGGGCACATTCCCTATCTAACAGGTGGAGCTCTGCACACCTACAGCCACCTGCAGGTATAACAGCTCCTCACACTGTAGCACTGAATATGGCACAAAAGTAACTACATTAAAAAAAATCTAATTATAGTAGTTGATTAGTTGTTTCTTGCTTACTCATGTGCTGGCCAAAGTTTGATGAGAAGATTGCTACCACTTTCATGACTTTCTGCAAGAAAGAGAATAAGCATAGAATACAAATAAAAATACAGGCGACAGGCAGAACCTCTATAAATGCAGCCAGTTGTCTTGCACTGTTCAATAAATGATTGAAATAGTTAGTTTATCAAAATGCTTGTGATTAATTTTCTTTATGTTGCCCTCATACCTACTCTTTGGTTTCAGCTGCAATATGGAAGTTTGAGCTGTGCTCTGGGACAGTGGAACATAAGTAGGACATGCTGAGCCTACAGAAGAGTCCCATGCTCCTTTGTAAGCTGGTGTTTTTTATTTCCACTCCAGGGAGAATTGGACAGAGAGCGTTTCAGCACTGATCTGAAGAGGACTGTGAAAACAGAAACAGGCTACAAGGCGGAGCTCAGGATTTTTGTCAGCAAAGGTGAGAGATTTTTGTGTGTGTGTGTGATTCTACAGTGTCCATTAAAAATGCCTGTGATTCCACTGTTTGAGCCTGCTTCACCAGATCTCCGTGTCTCCGGCTGTTACGGACTGTTTGTCCCCGGTCCTAACCCCAGCCTCGTTACCATGGCAACCCTTGATGGATGGACAACGCTGGCTGTGGAGCTGGCACACACCAGACCTCTGGACGAGACGAGAGGTGTAGCTGTACAGGTGGATTTAGTTTGTGATCATCAACATGCATCAGAAATGTGTTGAATTTACAAACCCATCACTTCAATTATTTTATTTTTAATACTTATATTTTATGTTTAATTTTAAAAATGAGACATTGGTGCCACATGCCACAGACTTTATACTTTGATAAAACATTAGCTACACTGTACATGTGCATCATTTGCAGCTGGACGACAGAGTGCCCATTCATTTAGACTTACTCTTCTTTAACCATAATCCTCCTCTTCACCCCTCGTGCCCCAGGTTGTGCTGTCTTACAGCACTCAGACAGGAGACAGGAGGACCAGGGTTCACACGCTGACTCTGCAGTGCTCACATCGCCTGCAGGAAACTTTCCGGCACTACCAGGCCCAAACACTGCTCGCCTTCTACTGCAAGAAAAGTAGGGCTCTCCTACTGGGTCTTAAACTGTCAAATCTGAATGTAATGCCAAATGAAATGTGCTGAGTAAAAGGCAGAAAGGGAGACGGTCACTGTATGATGTCTTATTTATTGATATATTATCATTTGCTTACAAAAATTCTTTTGCGTCAAAGTGGACATCATCTCTTAAATTTAAAATGTCCCAGTTGATGTGTTCTGACGTGTCTCCAGTGTACTGTGCAGTGTTGGAGCGCCCTCTACAGGAGCTGAGAGAGGAACTGCAGACAGATCTAACTGAAGCACTGGCGTCCTACCGTAAGCACTGCTGCTCTGCCTCAGTGTCTGCTGGACAGGTGACTTTCAGAAACATATGATGCACTTCATAGTTATAAAATGTTCCATAAGTATTAAGTTTCCTTTTTATTCCTAAAAATAGAAGAGAACTGTTGTAAATACATAAAAGGTCAGAATACTGTTGCCGAGATAAATCAGTATGACTCATTTTAGCCTGCACTCAAATCCTTTATTGTTTATCTCTTATTTTTCTAAATCTCTTTTTTTACTTTACAAACCAGGTTTACCCATCATCTTCGTCATGTTATATCCTTCTTTAGCTTTATATTCACTGTGCCAAACCAAACTATCGGCATGAATTCATTTAAATTTTTTTCCCCATTGTGTGTGTGTGTGTGTGTGTGTGTCCTGTAGCTGGTCCTTCCACAGCACCTGCGAGCTCTTCCTGTTTACATCAACAGTCTGAGGAAGAGTGAGGTCCTGCTGCCGGGCCTGAGGAGCTCTGTCCACCAGCGACTGCAGCAGCGCTGCCAGGTGCTCAGCATGGACACCTGCTGCACCGCCACACACTTCTACCCTCAGCTGCTGCCTCTGGTCAGTTTGATCAGTACACAGGGGTTTTATTGGAAATAAAATAAACTAATAAAAAGTAAAGAAAAGCTTAGATTGATCAGAGTGAGGATGATGTACCAGACTGAAACTGTGCACTACTGAGCTAAAGCTAAGTGGCAGAAAATACTGACTCTGGCATCATTTAGGATTTTAGGCACTCTTCATACTTTAACTTTTGTAAACCATAATTAGTCCCATCTGAAAACAGTCTTGTTTTGACATTCATTGTTATTTTTTACTGTGATGTTTAATGTAACGTTGATTTGTGTAGACAAAATCACTAAATGTATGTCCGATGTTCTGGAGAGACGGGCTTTGATGACATTTTCACTCTTGTCACCTGCAGCCTCTGTCAGTTGACAGCTCCAACCTTCCAAACCCAGAGGAGGCGCTGCGCTGCTGTGGTGCCAGCCTGGACCCCAGAGGTCTGTATTTGGTGCATGCACCCCTCACCCTGCTGCTCTGGGTGGGCACCAGAGTTCCAACAAGCTCCCTGGTCGAGCTCTTCAACACCAGCTGCTTCTCCTCCCTGTCCTCTGGAGAGGTGAGATTCAGGGGATGTTGGTGTTCACACACAGAGTCTAAGGGTTAATACAGTAATTCTACATCTACTACAACACATTCACCTTAGTTACACTGAACATATATATGTAAACAAAAGGCCCAAAAGTTGGCTTACTGCAACAGGAAATGTAGGATGAAACATTTCCACAAGCATTTTAATTTGTGGAAAATGAAAACTAATGTTTTCTAGTGTAAAAGAATGTTAAGAGAAAGTTACTGAGAAGAGAAAAAGCAAGTAGTGAAGATGGAGGAGGTTTTGGATATGAAGAAGGTGTTGATGCCTCAGCAGTTTTTTTTTAATTAAAAAAACCAAGAGGATCTAAGGACACAGGTGAAGGTATTGCGTTTTTGTCTAACCACTGTTTACTGTCCAATTCCGATGTTTCTTGTTTTTGTGTACGTTCTTTCAGACCAAGCTGCTCGTTCTAGAAAACCCTCTATCCATCAGTGTTCGATCCCTCATCAACACGTTGAATTCCCAGGTGCCCTGTGCCCGCAAGGTGAGCTGCTGATGTCCTGAAGAAACTTTAGATTTTTTTAAGTTGGCCATCATCTGTGACCACAAATTACACAGTTGCCATCTTAGTATCTGAGTTTGTTTAATCTCTTGTGCTGCGTTCATGTTATCTCGTTTGGCGTAAATCGGAGCCACAATCTGGACAAACCAAAAAAAAAGATGCTGACCTCAGTGTCCTTGTGCTCATTTCAAGGTGGGCATGGCAGATATTTTGCCCCTAGTGTGACCTTCAGTTTTTTCATGTTTAATTCACATGTTGCATGTGGCTACTGTCTCCTCTCAGTAAACGGATGTAAACCTGGTGTTAGGATTTAGACGTTTCCTTGCAACCTAAGTTCTGTAACTTCACATCCACAACATGATCATGTCAGGATCATCACTGACAGTGGGTGTTGACTGATGGTGCCACTACCATGTGTCTATCTTTCTGTCTCAGCTGTGGGTGGTGAAGGAAGGTGACACCTGCGAGGAGGCCCTGCAGCGCCACCTGGTGGAAGACAAGAGTCCCAATGGAGGAGCGTCCTACACAGACTTTCTCTACCATCTCCACGTCAGCTCTGTCCGCCTGCTGCAGTGACACACAAACACACTTTTTATGACCTGTGTGTGCATTACCTTCTACAAAACATGATACTGCAGCATAACTGCAATAAAAAACAGGAGGGGAACAAACATATCACTAGACCTTACTGTTATTTGGAAATATTAAAATCTGCCAATCAGGCCTTGCATGGATGCTTTAAGAAATGCATCATTTTATTTTAATGACTGCTGTGAAATAATAAGTGTGACATGCTGTGTTGAATGTGATCTGTGCCGTTCAGAAGGAGGTGTTTGATATTCTTGCATCTTGGAAGATCAGTGTGGAAGGCGAAGTAAGACTTTAGATTTTGTACTACTGTTTATCCTCTTTATATTTCACTTGTGTTGTTTGGTATTCAGGGTGGATGGCAAAGTAAGAATTTCATTGTGCAGGGAAATACGTTTCCATACTGTGTGTGCATATGACAATAAACACACACTTTGAATCTTGGCAATTCTCTAATCCCTGCCTGAGATTTGTGTGTATGTCTCTTTGGGTGTGTGTGCAGTCTCCTGTAAATAAATAAAGGACTTAAACTTAGATGGAGGTTTTACATGTTTTTCAAGGTGCAGTTCAGCTAAGAGGAGAGGATTTTTCTGTTCATGAATATCAGTGAAGTTGTTTTCTACAGTGAAGATGTCATTGTGCAGCAGCAGATGAAAATGTGACTCAGGAAGCCAAAAGTGCAAATGGCTAATGAGTCCAAGTGGCCAATAAAGCAAATTGGCAGCAATTATGTTGCTATAGTTGGAAGCAGGCATGTGGCTCCAGCAGGGGCGGAGCAGGATGGGGGACTAGGGTGGCACCTGTGTGTGTCTGTGTGTGTTTTCACACATATTTTGATGTTTGTAATCATGGTTGAAATTATATGACCTGAATGTGGAATTACACCCAGCGGCACAGCTAACTGTTAACACGTCTTAGTTTAGCCTTTTGTCATGCTAACATTTGCTAATTATCACTAAACAAAATGGATGATGGAAATGTCATTAATTTTACAGGACATAACTCAAAGTATTGGACAATCAAATTCTGACCAGATGGTGGCGCAGAAGCAAAAGTTAAGGGAATACCAAAACTCTGGGAAACATTTTTTCCTTGTCCATCCTGTAGTTGAGCTATTTCACTCAAAACCAAAATCGAGAACCTCATGGTGGAGCCAGATGAAAAGTCTGTGAATCAGCAAAGTTATAGGGTTCAGTGTAAAAATATGTGAAACGTCTACTAATCCATCCATCTGTTGTTGTAATAACTCAGTCAGGACTGACACGGTGTTGGAATGTGTGTAGGGAGAAAACAAACCCTCCTAAAAGTTGTAGGTCAGCTCTGATGCTCACAGATTACCTGAAATATCAGTTAGTGCTCAGGTAAGAAAAGTGAAAAGTATTACCCACCTGAATTTCACAGCACGACACTTTGAAACAATAAAACAGAGAGACAAATTATAATTTAACAGTTAAGTAAAGTAAAATAACTTTTAAAGACAAGAATAGTTTTATATAAGACCTCATAGAGCCTCAGCATCCCAACAGAGCACTGCACTCTCATGGTGCAGGTCTGCTTGTGGTTCCCAGACACAAGTAGAATGGGAGACAGAGCCTTTAACCAACCTCTCCTGTGGAACCAGTTCCCAGTTTCTTTCCCATAGTGTGTCCTCTCTGTCCCTGTACCTTTCTGCAGGTTGCCCTGGCTCTGGAGCTGGAGGTTTCTGATGAGCAGTCCCAGCAACATCAACCTGTCCAGTGTTTGTTGTGTCTTATTGCTTTTCTTTTTTTTTCTCTTTCCTCTGTCCACTCACCCCAACCGGTCGAGGCAGAAGGCTGCCCACCAAGAGCCAGGGTCTGTCAAAGTTTCTTCCGTTAAAGGGAGTTTTCCACCCCACTGTTGCCAAGTGCTGCTCAAGGGGGATTTGTGGGGTTTTTCGTAATAATAATAATAATAATAAAGGTCTAGACCTTACTATGTAAAGTGCGTCGAGTTTGATCGGTGGCTATTTCCTGGGTTTTGTTAGGATATTGCACACGAGTTCAGTATTTCTACATTTCTTTTTCTGACTCTGCATACAGTATTTCTATAATCTTGGCATGTCCCTGTATCCTGGGTGCTTACTGTGACATTTTAATATAGGCTGTTCTCTTTCTCCACAGCGCACCCACTCATCTGCTTGCACATCTGAAGAATATCTTTCTAAAATTTATTCATCTTTCCGTAATAATTGGTAGATTAAACCGTGAAATACGTCATTTCCTCCAACTTGAAGCACATGCATTTACTACACACATCGCGACACGTTTTGAAGGCTCAAACCAGCTCTCTCATATTTGCCCCTATTTGGAAGTCGCACCGTGCAGGTGGGAGGTGTGTTCGATTACGTTCCTGCGCTTAGCCGTTCCGCACAATGTCCACTAGAGGGCGGCACAGAGCAACACAGGGTGATGAGGCTGCACCAAATCCAAAGGACTGCGCCAAGTTAGTGCAGCTTGTCCGCACCAGAGCGGAAGCGCGCCTTCAAAATAAAAGGCAAACCCGTCACCTAAATTATCGAGCATGAATGTACCTAGAAAAGGTGGATAAATTATTAGTGATCACCAGTGTCTCTTTGTAGCAGTTTTGTGAGTCTGTAGTGGTTGTTTTTCATGCCTATGAAGTTGCTGTCTTTGCAGCAGTGTTGCATCTCTGTGGTGTGTTTTGCACATCTTAGTGGTTGCTGTGTGGGGTCTTCCACTACTGTATTTTGTGCTTTGTAATAGTTTTGTGTGATTGTTTTGAACTTGTTTGTAGTTGATTTGAGTCTCTTTGTGGTGTTTTTTGTCACTTTTGAGTTTCTTTGTTATTGTTTTTGGTAGGGTTTGAGAACAAATTTCAATAAGTTTCCAAATTAAATGCTAACACTCACTTCAGTAATCCATCCATGGTTTTAGTATTATATATGCACGTATTGATTTCAGGGACTCTGTTTCAATGAAATTATCACCAGAATGCATTCCACAACAGTTGTGTACATCATTTAGTTTATATGCAGAAGTACAATGTAAGTACATTGTGAGCTATCGGCTTGAGTATTTTCATTTTCTGCTACCTCATACTTTGGCTTTACTCGTTTTGAAAGCAAATATTAGCCTATACGTTTTACTGCTCTGCCTTTAGTTGATAACTAGTTATTTTTCAGCATCAAAATATAGATGAAGTACCAAAATTAAAAAGTCATTATACAGAATGGCACATTTCACATTGATATATACTATTTTATTGGATTATAATTACTGGTACATTACAGTATTTATCACTTTAAAGTCACAACTGCTAAAGGGACAAATTCTAATGACCTTGTATATTTATGATACAAATTACTTGTGAGGATCAACAAAGTTTTATGATTATACTGTATTGTTGTTTTATTAGTGTAAATGCAGGAATTTAACTTGTAAGCGACAGAGTATTTTTACACTGTGGTGTTGTTACTTTTACTAGTAAACAATCTGATGTGTACCTCTTGCACCACATTTTAATAATTTCAAAGCTGTGTTTTACTCTGAAGGTCCGAGCAGGAAGTGGCCTTCCCCAGGTGGTTCAGCTTGTTGGCGGCTCTGCTGAGCGCGGTAGCTGTCAGATGGTGGAGAGAGAGACGCAGAGAGGACACCCGCCACTCGCTTCGTCTTTCCAGAGTAAACCTCCATCAGTCGGCGCCTCCTGAAAGGCACTTCAGCGCCTCACCGGCCCCGTAGCTGCTGGGCGGACCTGCGCTTTCCACCCAGCGTTAGCACTAAATTACAGTCATTCTTTCGGAGTTGAATAAAGCGACGAAGCGAGAGACAGGGGTGAGACATGGCCACGACAACCTGTACGCGATTCACAGATGAATATCAGCTGTACGAGGAGCTGGGGAAGTGAGTATCAGCTGCAGCGTTCACGGGTGTGTGTCGCGGCTGGTGGCTTGTTAGTGGGAGGGTGGTGTTATCGGCTGGTTTCCAGGCTGTGCACTGTGCAGGCCAGCCCTGCTGTGGGTGTGCGTGTGCGCGCGCGTATGACAGCTCTCAAAATACGCTGCTCTTTCTATCTCTGTCTCTCTGTGCAAGTGCACGACGCTTTCTGACACATGCATGCTCCTCATTAAATGTGCAGCAGTCCTAACGGTGTTTGCAGTTATGTGACGCGCATGCCAATAGAGGGAAACGTGCGCTGTCAGAAACGTCCCGTGGTGCAGCCGTTTGACACTCAGGTGTTTCTAAAAGTGTATTTTTCCAGAGCATGGCCTTTACAGGGTTCATACAGCTGCAGATGTGGTGAATGTGCATGGAAATAAAGTGTTGTGGCTGCACACATGGCGGTGTCTGCGTGGCATGATCAGATCCTCTTTAAGAATCAATTCATGTCATGTGAGGATATAAAAACACCTATATCTTTAAATCAACGTGTTATTGTGGTTTGAAAATGACACTTTTGGTTTCTGTTTAGTTTGCTGAAAACCTTATTGGCCTATTTTATTCTTCCTATGATCCATTTCTAGTTCCCAGTTAATACCATGTGCATGCCCCTTTTCTATAAATATAAATGCATTAACAGCTTTATTGCACATTATGTGAAGGCGTGACAAGTCTCTCTTCCTTAGGAGGCTGTTTTTCAGCATTGTGCTGCCAGATAACACGAGATAAGACTTTCTGCACTGGCACCAGGCAAAACAGATCCCGTCCATCTGTGTTCACGAAGCTCTATCAGCTGCACATGCACACATTTCCTTATTACAGTAGGAATCTGAATTGAAACAGACACAGTTTGTCCTAACCAGCAATCAAATGATTTGAAGGAGACTGTGCAAATGTCTAAAGCGTCTATCGATTGTGGTTGAACTGTATGATTATAAATACTGGCATCATGGTCTATGAACAGTGCCGTTGATCAAAAACAGCACTATGAAGTTGTCTAAAACCTATTTTATTCATAATAAACTAACAAACTGTGCTATGCTAAGACCACGAGACAGTGAAAATAGGCCACATGAATTAAAAAATGGCACGGCACACCACACTCAGGAGAATTCTAGTCCTTTCGTAAGAGATAAAAATGGATGTAAATGTCAGTCAGGACACGGTTTAGGTCTCTGTGTTGCAGCATTATAGTAATTAGTTATTATTAGGATGCAGGAGTTAGGGAAACAATAAAGAAATCACTCCTCATCAGGCTCACATAGTTTATGTCGTGTATCTCACCAGTGCTGTTTGATTATCATGCATAAAGTATCACTGGTTCTTTACCGATAGCTTGATTGGCCCCATGCAGCTCAGCCAGCCTCCACTGGGCCGAGAGGTGCATCTAAAAACAACTGCACTTTGTAAAGTACACAATGTGTTTTATCTGTGGGTTTCATGGTACCGAGGTCAGACTCTGATGTCGTAACGTGTAAGTGGTCTTCTATTTAAATGTTTTATTACGTATTGTGTATTAATCTTGTATATAAGACCCTGATTGTGAATCAGTGGCAGTTCATTTAAGACACAGTGATGCGTCAAACTTTTTTTTTTTCTTGTGTCTTGTTTACTTCTCTTAAATCAGTGGGTTGCCGTGTTTCCCAGAATGCCTTTCAACAGCCCCTAGAGAATGCACATACATTTTTTGCTTCATTTGTAGCTGCTCATTGCTCTTAATAGAAAATATCGGCACAAGTTTTCACTAAATAAAAGTTGTCTAATGAAAATCTCGTGCCCTAAAACTGCTTGTATTAAGTGTTCCCTTAGAATTTGATACTTCACAGGGTTAAAACTTCTCTGTTTGAAAGTTGTTCTGCTGTTAGGTGTATTTTTAGGTGATGACAGATGTTGATGGCAGCTCATGTGACATCTCATCCCTCCAGCGTCAGGTGAAACTCCCATGTAGTTTTCTGGAAGAATTTATAGAATGAATACTCCACCAAAGTGTGGTTCTGAAAAGTCAAAGCTGGAGTGAGACTGGAGCAGGTTAACCAGTTGGAATCAGCTACTAATGTTGTGTGGAACACGCTGAGTGTAAGGATGGCACAGAGCTGAGTTAGCACCCTGAAGTTTATGTTTTTTAGTCAGCTAACTCTAGCTTCAGACTGGAAGCTGCATTTTATACAGAGTGTCCCAACCAGGCCTCTGTAGTTTACGTCATCAGTAGGAAACATGATGTGATGGGAGGGGCGGCGATCGTTAAGGATGGTGTCGGTCTCTCTAGACGCTGTAGGTGAAAAAGAAATTAGTTAACCAGGTATTTTAAAAATGATACACCGGACTGTGATCAGCCATTAATGCTGAGTTGTCTGCTACAGTAGACACAGGGATCAGACGTGTTCGCAGCATTGTATCCCCACCTTTATTGTTTCTTCTCATAAGTAATAAATATTGTTAGCAGGGAAGGTTTCCATGTCTGCCTGCCTCCAATATCTCCCAATCCCAGTGAGAATTCTAAATTTGAACAATACATTGAAGAGCGCAGCTGGTCACATGTGTAAGCCTCGCTGTGTTCAGATAGTGTAAATATGACTTCTTCACAATCCACCCCAGTCAACAGTGCTGGATCTGAAGCTCTCAGTGTGAGACAGACTGGCTTTCATAACCCAGTCGTATAAAAAAAACAAAGCTCAGAGGAAAGAGGCCAGCCGTTGACGTCTTGGCATCCTCATGATAAGGCTCTGTGTAACATTGTAATGCTAATCCAACATCTGAGGAGTGCTAACTGTTGTGACACTCAACGGGTGTCACTTTCTTAGCACAGCTTGTGACATTTAAGCATCGTGTCTACATGTTTAGCCCATTTATTATAACTCAGGTCTTCCTTAAAGACACCACAGCATGGGCTGAAGTCCTCTTTATTTGCATAGCACCAATTCACAACAACAACTGTCTCAGGGCGCTTTACGTAATCAGGTCTAGACCTCACAGTACGACGTTCTCCTGCGTCAGTCTCCCTGTGGGGCTGTAACAATAGACCAGAAACTCAAATGCTCGACTGTTGAAGGCACCAGTTTGTTTCAGAAACACTCCACTTAGGTGTCAAACAAAAGCAGTGATTTGTGACGTGATACCTAACGTGATATTTAACTGTGTGTATTAATCTCCAGAATCTCCCCCTGGGGATTCCTGATGTATTCTGTCTATCTAAACCGTGTTTAGCCCCGACCAATAGACACTTTCCACATGGAGTGTGAATGTTCCAGGCACAGCTGCGGGGTTTGGTGTCAGTAATAAATGCGTTTGTTTGTGTGTGTGTGTAGCTGCACTCCATGCAGTGCGTTTACATAACTGTGTGTCAGAGAGTTTCTTGCTTTTGGGTCCTATTTCCGCAGGACTTTATGCCATGACACCAAACGGACGGTCCTGACACTGACTTCAAGCTCTTTTAACTTTTGTTCGTTGGGTGCCGAGACACTGTTGAGGTGCTCTGTGGATTGTGTGTGGTGCTGCGTCTCCACACAGACCAGATCTAACTAAACAGACCAGGACTGGCCAGGGCTGAGAAGCCAGCTCTCTACACAGTGTGGAACTATTTCCTGTTGGGGAGATGCCAATATTTTTATATTGAGACTGTTGATATTCTGTATGAATGAATAAATAAAACTCTATTTGCATAGCACTTTATGTACTGTACAGGTTTGTGCAGGTTAAAGTGCTTTACAGACGAATGACAAGATGATAATGAGACAGTACAAATGTAAATTGTGAAAAATTAATAATAAAATCAATTAAATCAAACAATTTAAAAATACACAAATATAATAAATACAGTGTGATAAAATAGATGAAAAATGACAAGTAAATTTAGAAACATTTAGAAGAAAGATTTGTGCCAGAGCAGAGGTTTTCAAACTAGTGGTCTGTGACCCTCTGGTGATCCGTCAAGGCCTTGCATGTGGTCCCTGATCATGTTTTCAATAATGAAGCTTCACTATGGGATTTTTTTATTTTCATGTATTCACTGTTGTTTGCAAATAATAAAATTAATACCGATATATGAAGTTTAGAAAAGCCGAAGTGACTTCCAGGATTAAAACAGTGCCATAGTACTGGTCCTCGGGTTGCTTCTTAGTCACAGTGGTGGTCCCTGGGTCATAATCAGTGGAGAACCCCGGCGCCGGTGGACGCGAGTAGCTTGTCAGACAACAGAGTTGGTGCAGAGCGTTTTAAAGACAAGTAAAAATGTTGACGTGTGACCATTTTATGGCCAGATGCATCGTGATATTCAGTGTTTGCAGTCAGACTTTGAGTTACAAAGTGTGTAGCTGCGTAGCTGCGAGGGGAACATTGACTGTGGTGACACAGATGAAGTGGCTGTAAGATATTATGCTTTGATTTAGTGTCTGATGCTTATTACAACAGGCTTTTCAAAGTCTAACATCTTATCACTAATGCAGGTTTGTGTTTCAGAGCCCATTCTAGCCCGGTACCTCTGACACCACCACATTATTTAGAACATGCTGAGTGTATATTCTGAACCTCAGGAGAGCCTGTTCAGCAAACAGAGGTGTAGTGTCTTAATGTAGCTCACCACCACTGCCAACATGTGACATCAGGTCTGTTCTGTGTTTGGCCTGGAAAAATGCTCACTGAGCAGAAAATGTTCTCAGCAAAACCGCGAGCATAGTCATTTCTCTTTCTGTCATTTATCAAGACGTTGCAGGTGTGCAGATGATACTGCTCCATTACATGATGATGAATAATGCAGTTTGAGAAGCACAGAAATGTTATCTTTGCTGGATTGTGACCGAGTTGTCAACTAAAAGCAGCGCTGCAGTAGGTAGAGCGGTCGTTTCCAACTGGAGGGTTGGAGGTTCGAATCTCGGTGCCTGCAGTCAGCATGTCGAAGTGTCTTTGGGCAAGACACTGAACCACCAAGTTGTCCCCGGTGGTTAGAGTGACGCTGCAGATGGCTGCCTTGGTTCTGTACCGGAAACAAATTCCTTGTGTGTGTCACATACTTGGCCAAATAAAGGTGATTATCCTGATTATTATTATTAATACATGTCTTTTCTGTGCTCTACAGGGGAGCCTTTTCAGTGGTGCGCAGATGTGTGAAGCTGTGCACGGGACAGGAGTATGCTGCCAAAATAATCAACACCAAAAAGTTATCTGCAAGAGGTAAGCATTTCATCTCATTACAGGTTTCACTAATTCCCTGGTGGTTTCTAAAGTGGTGTCTCAGAAAAAGTGGCAGAATTTCACTGTTATTTCACTTGTACAAGTAGAATGTGCAGCCACACCAGTGACTAACTTGTTCATAGTCTGGGACCCAGTGGTCAGCTCCCCACCTACAGTGTAGACGGTTACATAAGTGAGCAGCAGTCACCGTCTCAGATGGTGCTGCGTAGGACAACAGTTTGTCACACTGGGGTCTGTGTGAGAAAAGGACAGCGGCAGAAAAGCTTTCACCAGCAGAGCAGGAACACAGTACTGTACTGCGACGGCCCTACAGCGGGCTCGTCTGAACGCCAAGTTCACCTCCGCCCAGCTCTGACCTGTAGAGAGCCCAAGTCATGGCATCACGTCCGCGTCTGTGCAATCTCTCATTCATCTTTTTTTATAGGTTATTATAAGAAAACTAAACACGTTCCTCTGGATTTTTTCATATTCTAAGACAAGCCACCGACCAAAGAAAGAAATTCAATACAAAGAAATTCATCCTTATAATGTAAGTAAATGTAGTGAAACTCACATATCAGTGAAAACAGCTGTGTTCCAGGGCTGGATTTTTATTAGCCAGATTAGAATGTGGCGGCACAGTGGTGCGGTGGTTAGTGCTGTTGCTTCACAGAAACATGGTTCTGGGTTTTTCCACTGGAGCACAACCCAGAAGGTCCAGTTTCACTGCAGCTCTCTATACTAATCATTGTGACTGATGGATTAAGTGGCTTTAAATCTTTGTTATGCCTCGAGGTTCCCAATGCAAATGGACTCTGGTGGTAACCAGGGGATGAATGAGTGACACATTGCTAAAGCAGTCATCCACCTCTGGGTCTGTTTGCCATTAGCAGCCCCTCCTGCTTGTCTCTTGTATATGTGGAGGTGCAGTCTTGCTGTGACAACATGTACTGGGTGGTTGGAGTTCCTGCACAGCGCGGGGTGGAGCTGGTGGGGACAGTCGAGGCCTGCTCATTACGTCCTACCAGATAAGCTCACGGCTGGTGTCTTCTGTCAAAGAGGTAGCACAGTTTGAGTTGTATTATGTGAAGCCACACAACAGCAGTGACATGTACTGCAGCGTGGAGCAGACAGAGCAGCCTGGGTTTGGAGGTAATGGGGAAAAAATCAGAAAAAAGTACAAGCAGAAAATGTGTTGAGTTTCAAAGTACAAACAACCGTCTCATACTTACACAGTCTATCACAGTAGGGACTGCAGATGAAATATCTGTTAAATAAATGTGTTTCTTCAACATCTGGAGCTTGACAGTCAGTTATTTGCCTTGTCGAGCAAAAATGCCACAAAAAACAAGTTGTAGCTCCTCAAATGTGTTTGCAGCTTTTCTGTGAACAGATGTGTCTGCACCAAGAGGTGAAATGGGGAAATGGGAACACTTTTAACTATCCTGTGACATTGTATTGATGATGTGTTAACAGTTTATCTAGGAACTAATCAGCAGATTAATGACTGATGAAAATAACTGTACGTACGATTATGGATGTTATTTTCTTGTAAATCATATTAAAGTCAATAAAGTTAAACGTTTATGCAACTGACAGAATCTGGTGCTCGAGTAGCATGGAAGCATCCTGGCCTGGAGTAGCAAATGTTAATCTCTGCTGCTTTTCAGGGCATTTTGCCATTAAATGATCATTTAATGGAGACATAAATATTGTAAAAGCACAAAGGCTCTCAGCTTTAAGGTCTTTAATAATG